GAGAGTTCTACCTCGAGATGACCATGGGACGTAAAGTCAATGTGAGTATATTTCATATCTGATGTTTACTGTTGGAATTTATTTTAATGTTGTTGGTTTATAATTGTTTCAACATAATATCCAATATGCAAACCACAACAACGCACCTACTGCATATATATATTTTTTGTTTTATTATATCAAGTGGTGTTTATAATATACTCTTGCAGTCTACACCATATTGTATCCTGTTATGTTGTATCTTCCAGAAATGCATGGTTCGACATCAGCATAACGAGGAGTGCAACGACCTGATTACGATGGAGAAACGCATCCAGTTCCCCATCGAAATGTCCATGCCTTGGATCCTCACGGACCACATCCTCAAGAGCAAAGAGCCTGCTATGATGGAGTAAGTATCCTTAATAATAATCATTTATTCTCTCCCATTCACATACAATTTTAAAAATACATTCAAGTGAGAATTTAACGGGAGACTGATGTCCAAACTAGGTAGACCCTGTGTCTTGAGACACCAGGTCTTCGACCCAGAATCAGATGAATTACAAATTTACGGAAACAGAATAATAATAAAAAAGAAAAGTACTTTAAAATAAGGTTTACCTTGAGACAAGATTAGAGTAAAGTTGTGTGTGTGCGTGCTAGCGTGCGTGCTTGTGAGCGTGAATGTGTACATGCATGAGTGGTTACATATGTGTGTTAAGGCTAGCAAGACGTCTTAGCTTCATCGCATGACTGTCATGCTCTGCAGTGGGTCGCATGACGTGATAATTTATAAACTGAATTGCATGGAAAGGAAAAAAATAAATCTAAGACCTAGACATAAGAGGCAAGTGTTGTACCAACTATAGTCTGTCATACTATAGTCTGTCTTTTTAAGACGGAGTAAAATGACATTTGTAGGGTTGCCAGTTTTCATAAAAATGACTGAATTGTGAGTGTTACGACGTTCTATAATATATAATGATTACTATACTTCGTTTCAATCCATTTTGAACAAAAAGTAAACAAACAAGTCACTGACCCGACCATAGACGGTTTAGTGATGGCCAATTGTAACGCCAACTACACATCGATTAAATAATTGAATGAATCGATTTGTTCAATTGAGCCATACTAGCGGTTTTCCTTACAAAACCTATATAAGCATATTTAAAATTTCAATTCAAATCTTTCTTCAAATCCTTACACTCAGATACTCGATTGAAATGTTCGATGTAATAATCGATTACTAAACTTTAATTGATTGAACCGAATGTTTTTTTCGAACAGCACTATGCCACCATAGGCAAGTCGTAGAAGTATAGATGAATAATAACCTCACTTTTGGACTACCATTTTTCAAATACGATTTTACGATGCTATTCAAATGAATATTGTTGGAAAACGTGATGATATATCAAGCCTAAATATTCGTGAGAGTGTTACTTATTCGATTTATTGAGTGATTGCATTGACTTACAATTATATGGACGACGGGTCTAATACAAAAACTACGAAAAAATATGTCCCAAGTCAACCTATTTAAACGTAGTGACATGTAAAGGAATATGAAAAAGCTAAAACGTTGAATTTAAATCGTAATGTCATCGCAGTACTGTCTAATTTTGCTTGCAACAATTGACAGACGCAAAAAAACATCATATTCAGCTTCTACTGGAAACTTACCAAAATGCACTATATGTAGTTTCTAATGAAAAGTACTTGAACACAGGTATAATGGAGTAGCCTTTATTATTTATGAATAAATTTTATATGTAAATGTTGAATTTTATACAATGCCATTCATCTGATTTTTTTTCTTGAGGTTCGAGAATTCTCGTACCCAATTTCGCGGGTTATTCGAGATTTTTTTTTAAAACTGTAAAAAATCAGCTCAATCAACTATAAAACTAAATGAGAACTTTTCGAAAGTTGTTTTGACCTGGGTATTCTGAGTTGTGCCCCGAAATAAATTCCATTGTTCTTGTTCCCAGGTTCGATTCCGGGTAGAACCAATTTGGGAAATGAACTTTTGTAAATTAGTTCTGCTCTGGGATTCTGTTGCTCTGATACTCATGGGGAGTATGTACAGTGAGTTCCCTAGTTCCAGACTAGATGATTGTCTTACAATAGAATACCAAGACCAGAACCATTTGGAAAAGTTAATTTGTTAAATTGATCCTACCGCTATCGAACCCGGGAACTTCTCATCCAGTGCCCACAGTGCAAATCGTTAGGCTATCAAATTTGTACTATTTGTATTATTATGCATTGTTTGCATGTGAAAGCTACAAATTGCTTAAACTTTTCAAAAAATCCCATTTAATTTGCACTGTCAGTCTGCTTCAATTACCTTCTTTGTTTCTTAAGTTGGTATATTTTGTCATTCATCCAACTTTTGATTTTTAATGCATTTTGGCGGTGTAAGATGTTCTCTGTTAATACTTGTCACTTTCTCCTTAAGTTCAAGCTAAGTTTACTGAATAAATTCCTGTATTCTCTCCTTTTTATGCACAGTTCACTCATTGATGTAATCACATACCAAAGCTTTAATATAATCTTTTATCAAGTCTTTTATCAAGCTTGCATCAGCTCTGGTTTCCTTTCTTTTCTTACCATTTTCTTAACCCGTCCGTGCATAGTACTGAAATTATACTGCGTTCGAAAACGTCACCACTTTTCTATATGCCGTAGTGCTTACATTGATTCAATATAATTATTACGGTTTATCACTGACTACGGTTGATTCCATCAACAGGCATAGTCGTACTGCTCATAGTTCTTGCAAATGTTTCTTGTGCATGAAAAAGCACGGCTATGACGGTAGTAGGGTATTTGCCGTTGTGAGATAATTACAAATTAAATTGCGCGATATTGATTGAGAAACGCTTTCCATAATGAACACTTAGGTACTAATTAATAATAATAATAATATATATAACGCACACACTCAACATTGCCCCGCATTAGGGAAACCCCGTATCGCGGGTGCCATGGACACACATATAGACAACCACAAATTACACCCAAACTCACAAGAGAAATAAATGTAGGCCATATACATATTTCTCCCGAAAAACCTAAAAAAATACTTTCGGGATTGTGGAAATTCATGCAAACGTTATTTCGGGCAAATGTATTTTCGGTCTTCTGATTCGTAACTCTGAGCCATAGAAAGAGTACAACAATATTTGAAAGTATTACTAACATGTATGAAAAAATATTTTAATAATAAAATTAGCATCAAAGCGACTCTATGAAATTTTTGTTCTAAATATTTCAAACGCTTGTGTTTGAAACAATTGAAATTGACATGTTGGGTCTCGTTCAGTCTTTTACGCAAGCAATGAGTCGGAAAGAGACAGTTAGCTATATGATTATTTTGATTGCTTTTGTAATTTATATTTACGACTAATTTAAATATAAATTAAATACTATATATACTAGTGCATAAAATAACACTATTAAATGATAACTATGATAACACAATGTAATACTTACTGAAAATATGATATACCATCCTGTTTTTTCACTTTACGTGAGTAATTTTTACAAGGTTTTACTACACAATACGGCATCATTGACAAGCGCGCTGTCAGTCGAACAAACGAAGACTAAAGCGGAGTGTCGCGCTCTGTATACGATTTTAGCGCCTTACAAGTGCGGACACTTATTAGCGCGGACCCGACGCCCATATAATTGTAAGTCAATGAGTGATTGTTTTAGAATTTTAACCAAACAGGTTTGTTTACTTTTTGTTCAAAACGGATTGGAACAGACTATAATTACGGTTATTGCCTCCTTTATACTTATTTTGACAGATGGCCTACTAGTATCGAGATCAATTTTTATCCATATATCGACGCCTCCTACGTAAAGTATCGTATGTCGAAATTGCCAAGTTTACAGGGGAGCGTTTTAAAGTTCCCAATTCACAGAAAAGAGCATAACACGTGACTTTAGCATTTCTCAGTTCTATTCAGCAAATCTCGTTACTCACATAGAGTATTATAAAATCCTAGATATCGGTTAGATGATCTATGATCTTTCATTCAGAACTTTTCACTCATTCAGAAATTTAAAACGCTCCCCTGTAAACTTGGCAATTTGGACATACGATACTTTACGTAGGAGGGGTCGATATATTTTAACAAGAATAGCCGGATTTGATTATCTATATTGAATTAAAAATGAAAAACTTTAAAATATGTCTCCTTTTTTGTAGTTTCGTATTCTAAATACAGTGTATGTATGTATGAACTTACAAAAATTGACAATTCAAATGAACTTGTCCTCAATAATTGGACGAATAATGCGTTGAGGATAATTCATATTTATTTCATAAGCGTGACGAATGTTCAGTCGATAGTCCATAGAATATTATCGACTGCAAGTACTAGCTGCTCGCAAACGGGCAACACTATTGCGCAATGTACTGTCATTTTACTCCGTCTTCAAAAAAGACAGACTATAGACTTTGCTTAAAGTAGTCTCTTTGATCTCTAGTCTGTTAGAAACATTACGAATCACAATTTTTTTATTTTTATTTATTTATTTATATCGGGTAACAAAGACCCATGTATACATACCTTATAGACTAACATACATAACAATATAAAAACAAAATACACCTATATTATATATACCTTAAAACAAACATACATACAATATAATAATAAAAACTAATCTACACGATTTCCCTTATCGGCGACGTGTGGCGCAATCTGGTGTCAGGTAACCGGCCGCGGAATCTCCGATATATGACACCCTTCGGCCAAAATTCGTCTTTCATGAAGGTCGAAAGATGTTCGGTCGGTATTCTCACCACAAACGAATTGAAGTTCACGTTGCGGCGAGACTCCAACCGCTCGACCCTCAGGGTGTATTTGGTTTTATACCTGATATACTCCACTATCTCCTCAGACTTCGTGGAGTAATGCAGCCGCGACAGGTACATCAACGTCGTCGGTATATAATCACCGAAAATGGAGTGCACACTTAGTTTATTCGTTAGGCATATTATGGTATGCTAACATCAAAAACCGCGCGGTCGGAGCGTGCAGACGGGACTACACAATACGTATAAACGCTGGGTCGCGAACGCGCGAACTGAACGTAGGCGGAGATCAGGCGCCGGCGCACGTATGCTCGTGGAGTGGCTGCGCACAAACGTGTTCTTATATACCAGACCCGACCAAACCAGACTAGACCAATCATGATCAGTCCAGACCAGACCAAACCTGACTAAACCAGACCAAGCAAGACTAAACTAAACCGTGAATTTCAGATACGTTCTTTACCCACTCGATCTATACAACGACAGCGCGCAATACGCTCTTACCGTGTTCAAGAAGCAATTCCTCTACGACGAAGTTGAGGCCGAGGTCAACTTGTGCTTCGATCAGTTCGTGTACAAGCTCTCCGAGCAAGTGTACGCGCATTACAAGCAGTTGGCCGCGAGGTACGTACAATTATACATTAATAAAATAAAACAATTCTTATGATTGAGGCTTTTGATAGTAAAATTTCAGGTTCGATTCCTGGATCAGACAGGCGATTATTTAAACATTTGTGAATGCGGTTCGAATTGTTTTTAATATCAAAATGAAGTTTCTTTGAGTAAAATTTTCTATCAACGGTATTTAAGGTACTTCCTAGTGGCCGCCATTAAGGAAATAGAACACAATTTAAGGTACTTTCCCCTCCGTGTGGTACAGCCGCGAGACACCCCGTATACAGTGTTTTGAATGGGACAGTAAGGGGAAATCGGACCATAGAAGACACAAGGACACTGTATCTGTGCGTCCCTTGCAGCATGCTGCTGGACAAGCGGTACCGCGCGGAGTGCGCGGCGCGCGGCGCCAGCACCAGCCCGGGCGCCGGCCGCTACGCCTCGCTGCTGCGCCAGCGCCACGTCAGCCTGCTGGGCCGCCACGTCGACCTGTGCGCGCTGGTGAGGCTTACGGATAGTGCGGTCGAGGGGCTCGGTTCGTTCCGACCCACGGCGGAACTGTGAAACAATCGCTTTGGAAAATACATTGCACGGCGTGAAAACACGATTCCTAACCATTTTTACCATGGAAAAAGAACACAAACTTACCTCGTCATTTTACAAGAAAACCGCTGTATTCAATAAGTACTTTGCATATACCATGGTAGATTGTACAACAAGTGCATAAAACGCGTCATTTTAACCGAGACGGGTATATATACTATATAGGCGATGATACTTACGAGGGGAGGTCCAAAAGTCCGCGGAATGGAGGGGTTGTAAATAATATAAAACAATAAGGCTATTTTTCCTTTTCAATATAATTACCTTTGAGCTCAATACATTTTTTAGATCTCGAAATTAGCTTTTCTATGCCATCGAAAAAATATTTTTTCTCTTTGCTCTCAAAATGAGCTAAAATTGCTGCCTTAACCTCTTCATCGTCGCGAAATTTTTTCCCACGTAATTCTTTTATCAAATTTGGGAAGAAATAATAATCGCTGGGGGCTAGGTACGGGCTGTAAGGTGGGTGGGCCAGCGATTGAAAGCCACACTTGTGTAGAGCAGCCATCGCAACATTGCTCTTGTGAACCGGTGCATTGTCTTGCAAAAGCAACACACCCTTTGTCCATTTTCCCCGCCTTTTTTCTTTGACAGCTTCCTTCAGTCTCTCTAATGTTCTTGCGTAATATTCTCCCGTTATATTGACCCCCTTTTCTTTGTAGTCAACCAATAAAATTCCTTCACAATCCCAAAAAACCGTAGCCATGATTTTTCCAGCCGATTCCGACACCTTAAACTTCTTAGGGGGTGGTGTACGCTTTTTATGCCATTGCATTGACTCCTGTTTAGACTCGGGCTCAAAGTGAGGAACCCAAGTTTCATCTCCAGTAACAATTTGCTCCAAAATTGGGGTAGGTTCTGCGCCGCACAGCTCCAAGAAGTGCTTTGATGCATCGATTCTTTGTTGCTTTTGAGGCGGCGTGAGCATTCTCGGCACCCATCTTGCACTGACTTTCGTCATGCCAAGATGATCGTGTAGGATCCTCAAAATGGTAGTGTCTGATACTCCTACTAATGCAGATAGCTGTTTCTTCTTCAGACGGGCATCTTCCAATATAAATTTTTCGATTTTTTCAACATTGTCTGATGTGGGGGCCTCAACTGGCCGTCCTGGGCGAGGATCGTCTTCAATTGATTCTCTGCCATGTTTGAAAAGACCGTGCCACTTGTAAATCATTGTTTTACCAGGGCACTGATCCCCATAAACAGTTTCCATCTCATTCATAATGGTTTGAGGAGGTTTTCCTTGCTTGGTAAGGAATTTGATGACAGCAGGAAACTCGATTTGCTCCATATTTGCAGTTTTCTTCCGGATTTACTTGTTTGTAGGGCGATATCTCGTAAACTAATGAAGTTAAAAGGGTGAAGCTTTATATATATACCCCTAATGAGTATCTGATTAGTACCACATCAAGCAAGCGTAATTAGCGGGCTCCCGCCCCCTCCATTCCGCGGACTTTTGGACCTCCCCTCGTAAGTCGAGGGTAAAATGGGTTTTATGAACGAGTTATATACTCTGCTTTTCACTTCGATTGCGCGGAAATTAAACAGCAATATTACAAATAAACGATTATTTCATTAAAATTGAATGTAAAATTACAACTATTAAACGTATTTAATTTCATGGTTTTTTTAATTTATGCACTAGAGCATAAAATCCTACTTTTTATGCAGCATAAATACGGACCAGAGCAAAATGAACCCTATTAACACGGGAAAAATTTGAAATCGACCTGAGGTAATATGGAGTCTTCCCAAACCATTTTTAAAACGCAATTTATACGAAAAAACAGACACATTACGCATCCCTTCATTTTTCTATAGAAGGCGTAATCCGTATTTAAAAAAATATAACGCTCAAGAGCTTTTCGAATGTGCTCAATAGCACTAAATACGAAACTTTTAATAAATTTTCTGCAAATTTCACAAATGTAAGTCAAGCCACTGTCTCACCGAAGGTGCGATGTGTTGAAGGTATATTTTACGTTTAATAATAATTTCATCGAATTTTGAAATGTTATAAGCGACGTTTTGAAGTAAGGAACATTTTCCATTACGACATTTCAAATTGCCACTGTCGATATAATTTTAGAATTTTTTTAACGTAAATTGTACCTCGGTACACAATTGGGCCCAAAAATTAAGGGATCTTTTTGAATACTATTCCTTCACATTGATAACCTTTGGGACACCTAAATTAGGGTCGAAACACAAAACTGCGATGCGATTTCGTGCATCAAGGAATCTCACTGCCACAGTTCGGGTAACCATTCTTTCGAGGATCATCAACCGTGCTGAACGTATTTTTTAAACTTGGCAACAACATGGATCGTAAAAATAGTGTTGCACTGCTGTTATTGATAAGAAAGTGTAGAAAAAAAAACACAAAGATTAACATCGCAGGAATAACGATGCGGAGCAATTCGCAAATTCTTTTTCGCAGTTTTGTGTTTCGACCCTTATATCCAGCCATCGACTATATAACCAGAAATAGAGACGAAATGTCATTTAATTTGTTTGAAGACTATTCTGCCAAATCATTGTGGTCACAACTGCGCTACGATTGACCAGCCCGAATTCGAAACAATTGACGGGTGTCGCCAATTGTTTCACTTCAAATCGACCAGTTAACTAGAGCTTTGTTATAATGGACGATAATTGTAAAATTACATGTTTAATTACCGATGAAATTTGATTCTGTTTGTTTTGTAATTAGATGTCTTGCTGTTTTTCCCCACACCACCGAATGGAACAGCACGCCATTGTTAAATATAATATCTTTATTACAATAAATACAGAATATTTTTGGAATATACGGAGACGTACACACAGGTCAGTTGTTGGGCTGTCTATTTCAGTGCAAACGAGAGTTGATATTTATATGTGATGTATCACTGATGGGTTACCAGGAATGTATTGTATTGCCCATATTTCGTCTCTATTTCTGGTTGTATACTCGATGTATCCAGTACAGCTCTACTTGACAAATTAATACCGGTGACAATACATCACAGGTCGCGCAGCGTATTAACGCAGACACGCATCGTGCATTGGACGCTGCCGTTGCCAAGTTCGAGGCCGGGGACATCACCGGCGTCATCGTAAGTACAGTTTACGGTTCTCACTTTGCGCCCGCATTTTAGTACCCCTTTCTTTGATAACCAAAACATTGACTGCACTCGTGTGGCATGATTATACAAGATCCAGAACAAATTGCGAACTGTTGCTTGTTGTTCTTCTATTTTATTTGGCACCATATGTTAGTTACGGAATGAAATCAATGTTTTTGACTTATTGAACGTACTTATAGTGTATAATTTTAATAAAAATTTCCAATGCAAATGGGTTGTCAAAAAGAGAAATGACTGGGAGACACACTGAGCACATTATAACCAATTACGTGACAGACAGAACGAGTGAATGTAGACAGAATGACTGCCTCCGTGTTATGTATATTTGTATGGCCTACATTTATTTATCTCGTGAGTTTGGGTGTAATTTGTGTGTGTCCATGGCACCCGTGACACAGGGTTTCCCCTAGTGTGGGGGTATTTTAAGTGTGTGTGTTATTATTATTATTATATTAATGAGGTGCTTGAATGATTGGTTCGTTCACGAACATAAATGAAAAATATTTCTCAATTCGACTATACTATTTGTTCTGTTACCATGATTCTCGTTTTGTTGGAGAGGGGGTACCTCAGCAGTGGTCGTATTCAAATTTTAAGAAAATGTTCCATCTCTAAGGGTGGCACAACTTTTCTATATTGTCTCGGGTCTGGGTGGTTGTGGTTTCTTCGTTGTTTCCGTTAGTTACTTACTTTGGGATCAAAGCAACGTATTTGAAGTTGTCTAATATTTGTATTTACTTTATAATGTCCGAATTTACTGGCTTTCAGCGGTGGGGATTTCGGGAAAGATATTCCCTTTTGTTTTGGAGAAAGTTTTCCGTTATGGGGTTTTTACGGATGAACTCGTTGTGGGTGTTTTCGGAAAAAGGTTTCAGGTACGAGGTTTTAGGGAAAATGTTCTCTATGTTGCATTTCGATCGATAATAGTTTTGTTTTAAATTTCTCCCAAAGAATAATTGCAAACTCCCATATAAATTTTTGTTGTCATCGTTTGTATGCGTCTGAAAATATATACAATTCAAAGTCCTGAACAAATTTGGTTTCGGGAATTAAAGATATTCTAGGTTGAAGTTTCGGAGGTTATGTTTTACATAAATTGAATAAAATATATACGATGTATTATAATACCGAAATAAACTATAGAAGTCTTAAATATAGTTAATGGAAGTTGAATGGTGCCGTGGGTTTGTGGCATGACGAAAGTTCAGAGGAAATTATTTTATATAATGGTATGGTCTAAAAGTATGAAGCTAAAAAAAACTCGGACACATATCGTTTTTTAACCGACTTCAAAAAGTTGGAGGTTCTCAATTCGATTGATGATTCTTTTTTTGTTGGAAAAGAGGGTACCTAAGAAATGGTCCCATTTAAATTTGAAGAAAATATTCCACCTTTAAGGATGATAAACTAGGGAATGAATCCGGTTTTGCGCACTTAACGGTAACCGATTCCAATAAAACTCGGCAAATAGATATAATTCTACGAAGGTCTATTTTTTTATAAAAAAAGTTTACAATTATGTCCCATCTATCCCCGATATAGGGAACATTTTTATCATTTTTACCGCTTTCTCGCGTGGCATGTCGTCGAGAAGGAATTGTCTACTTTATTTTTTGTAATAAAGTAGTTGATAATTATTAATACAAAGATCGAACACTCAGAAAAAATTCCATCGATCCGGTCGGATTCGAACCGACGTCTTCTTGCATACCGTGCCAGACGCTATACCAACTAAGCCACGGAACGAACCAACGGACCTCACGAATTTTTCTTTCAACGACTTTTTAGTCGTAGCGCCATCTATGAGAAATCTATGACAGATTTATCACCCAGTTAGTACCTTTACAGCTACCAGTCCTGGCGAGAGATGTCGCTATTCACTTTATTAATTAAATTTTTATTGAATTGATATTCAATTATTTTTTGTGAAATTAAAAAATTCGTGAGGTCCGTTGGTTCGTTCCGTGGCTTAGTTGGTATAGCGTCTGGCGCGGTATGCAAGAAGACGTCGGTTCGAATCCGACCGGATCGAAGGAATTTTTTCTGAGTGTTCGATCTTTGTATTAATAATTATAACAAACTAGTGGAGTAATTTCACAAAAAATAATTGAATATCAATTCAATAAAAATTTGATTAATAAAGTAGTCGATCTTTTATTGCTAATCCTTCTAATCAGTACATTCGATATTACGTGAACTAACTTAATGTGGACCTGTCTATACGCAGGTACTGAAAATGTTTTTTTGGCTGCTAGATGTCGCTCAACGTTAAGTAACTAAGTAACTGAGGAGTTGTAGATATCAGTCGGGTGACACACTAATTAGTCAATTGAGTTTTTCTTTTTATGTAATATGATTTTATTTCTAGACTTGGACAGACCTTTAGTATAACTTGAAAAATCCAGTGAATTTATTTTATTCAGTCATGTAATAATAATAATATTAATAACCGTTTATTTCTCCTTCCACAAATTAATAGGACCAGGTCCTTACTAAAAAAACTTACGAAACAGAGTCGACATTTTGTATTTTAGGTCTCCAGGCCTCCCAACTCAGATTATAATTACATCATTATATTCTTAAGTAGGTACTAAGAGCCTATACAGAGAAGAAGATACGGGGGTGTGTGCGTGCACGTGTGTATGTGTGCACGCGCGTGCGTGTGTGCGTGAATTAGGACATTTGACGACTTTAAAGAAATCTTTAAACAATGATTTCGCCATTGTTCTTTCAGGAGCTCGAGGGCCTAATAGCTGTGAACCGGCTGTGCCACAAGCTGCTCTCTCGCTACCTGACCCTCGACGACTTCGAAGCCACTCTCAAGGAGTCCGACCATGGCGTATTGGCTCCTTACGGCAGAATCACTTTGCATGTCTTCTGGGAACTCAACTACGATCTGCTGCCTTCATATTGTTATAACGCTGCGACTGCCAGGTACGTGTTTTCGCGTTCGTAGTACGTGACTATATGAGGATAGGACTACTTGAGAATTTCAATTCGCTTTATGACGCTTATGTTTACTTACAAAACGATACCTCCAATGAACACTACGCCATCTTTATTTTTTGGTCATCTTCTGTTATTTTTGTAAACTGCCATATTTATTTGCCTTAGTAAGTATGGCTGCTTAATATAAATATAATCTTAATTGTGCTCCCCGAATTTTGTGAAAAAAGAAACAAGAACATAAAAAAACGAATTTTGTAAAAAAAAGAAACAAAAAACAAAATAAAAACAGAGCAGGTCGTAACCACGATAGACAAAACAAATGTCGTAACTACAAAGTTCAAAAGACAAAGTTCCTAGTTACGACAAAAATGTCGGTTACGACAAAATTGTTAGTTACGGCAAAATTGTGATTTACGACAAAATTGTTGGTTACGACAAAATTGTTAGTTACAAAAATGTTAACTGTCGTACGATGCTAACTGTCGTAGGAAATTGTTTAGCTGCCAATATGTTGACATTCATAGATTTGCATGCCGATAGCGGTAAAATATGTATACTGTTTTATTATGTATACTTGTACCACCTATTGTAAACCATATTTTTAGCTAATAAACTTCATTAATTCATTCATACGACTGTCGGGAGGAGACGGACGATAAGTGTGTTTGAACGTTTCGCGAGCAGGTTCGTGAAATGTCGCGGCCTCCAGTTCGCGCCGAACGTGTCCCGCGAGAGGCCCCCGCAGTGTGGCCACGCGCTGCTCTGGGGCTCCAAGCAACTGTCGCTGGCGTACTCTGCCCAGTACGCGCAGTACAACGGTACTTGTTTATCGATATCTTCATTTAAGCACTTTTCAGCAGACTTGCTCGTAAATAGTGATTTTTAAATTTACTAGATGTAATTAGCCAGAATATTGAGCAGAATAGATGGCGTTACGGCTAAAAAGTCGTTGAGAAAAACCAAAGACACGACGCAAGCACATAGAAAAATTCGTGAGATCCGCTGGTTCGTTCCGTGGCTAAATTGGTATTGCGTCTGCTACGGTTTGCTAGAAGACGTCGGTTCAAGTACCGCCGGGTCGAAGGAATTTGTTCTGAGTCGAGCACTCACATCTTTGTATTAATAATTATAATTTTTTAGATGATTTAGCATTATCATTAATTTCTTAAATATGGCGTGAATACAAATCAACACACTGTATATGGGAAAATATGTTGAGCAAAATTTAATAAACCACATAATAATGCTTTTTAACTGGTTTCTTGCTTACAGGTTTCGTCGGTCCCCAGCACCTTCACGCTCTAGTCCGTCTATTGGGCTACCAGGGGGTTGCTGTGGTAGTCGGCGAGCTGCTCGGGGTAGCCAGAGGGCTATTGCACGGTACGCTGGCGCAGTTCACACGCGCGCTGCAACAGGCCATGCCCAGGCAGTGTAAGCTGCCTAGATACGATTATGGGTCCAATGGTGAGTACTTCATCGTGTTGGCAATTTATAAATCGACCTAAGTACAGTATCGTATGTCGATATTCTAAATTTCGGACGTATAAAGTCACATTTGCGATCATTGACCCGACAGTGTTGTTTGTATTAGATATCACTAATATGTAAATAATTTCTAATATACATACTATATACAGAGAGTTCTTCTTAAATGGGACAGTGTACTATAACCAGAACTAATGTAGAAAGATACGGGGTTGTGACATTTTAATATTTTGTTTTAACCACATTTCTTCTTCCAGGTGTGCTGGGCTACTATCACGCACAGCTGACGGACATCATCCAGTACCCTGACGCACGCACGGAGCTGTTCCACGCCTTCCGGGAGCTGGGGAACATCATTCTCTTCTGCATGCTCATCGAGCAGGTCCGTCAATCGATTTGTACTACTGTATCAGCCTCGTTAAAGCTATTATATCCACATTTAGGTCTCAAATCCGAGTGATAAATATTTTAAAATTTTATCTCATTAACCAAAATGGCGACCAATGACTGCAAAAGATTAACACAGTGCCAAACATGGGTGCAAGGTCACAGCTGATTTTAAAACATTTGTAATTTTATCAACGTAAAAATTGAGCGCGACAAACGAGATGAAAAAAAAAGAATAAAAGCAAACAAATTGATAAGTTGATATTATTGGAAAAAGGTGAGAAGATTTTTAATCCAGTTCAATCTATGAGAGTAACACAAGCTATATTTTTGTATTTATTAATTAATATCAATTGAAAATAAAAAGGCTTCATTAACACCTCAAGGCGTCATTGGTGTATCAGTCAAGTTAATGTAAGACGCTTTGAAGCGTCCACGGCGATCAAAGGGTTAAATTTCAAAGCAAATTAATATCGACTCCTCCTACGTAAAGTCTCGTATGTCGAAATTGCCAAGTTTACAGGGGAGCGTTAAGTTTTGAATTCACTGAAGTGACTTTAGCATAGAAATGCTAATTTAATTAGGAGGGGTCGGTTTGTCCTGTTCCAACATGCACTACATATTAAAAGGCTTTTTGGGACAACAGTTAATTATTATTTCTTATATTTCATAGGCGCTGAGTCAAGAGGAAGTGACAGACTTGCTCCACGCTGCTCCCTTCCAGAACATTCTTCCAAGACCTTACGCAGCAGGTACGTAATGAAAAAATGATATATAAAATAGTAAGTAGTTTATGTGTAAAATACGAGTGTAGGCTTATTTAATCATAAAAAACATCACACGAGTGTTTTAATGATTATGTATAATTACATACACTGCTTTATCTGTACCCATGCTGTTGAAATTGGACATGGGACTTGTCAACTTATGTAGTGACCCTCAGATCTTTGCAATTTAAAGCTCTGAGTGGCACTACAACTGTTATGGACAGGCGTGTAGCTTACCATCAGGCGCACGACTTGGTCGTCCCGTCACTTGATATTATAAAAAAAAACCTTAACAATACATTTTACAAGGTAATTAAACTGAGGAACATCATGCCGTTAAATTGAGAGGCGGAAGACTGATGCTTGAACTAGATTTGACCTATACATTTATAGGTCACCAGGTATCCACCACCGGATCTCAATGATACAATATTATGATGTTTTTAACAATAGTGAGACATTATACTCTGTCCATTGCTGGAATTCTAATCAATTAGTGATGTCCTAATGCGTTTCCGATGCGTTTTTTTATAACAATCGATTTTATTTATGAAGAAGTTTTAATCGTGATTGTGAGAGGGTTCCAAAAAGAAGATATTATCTGATAGGGAACGTGATGTTGCGTTTGACAATTTGTGTGCTCAAAAATTAATAATTAATGTTAATTAGGATTCAAGTGATGATTCCCGTTCATATGGAGAAGAATCTGACGATTCATAAACGATAAACTAAACTTGAATAATTTTATATATTGCATAAAATAAACTGAATAAAAAATTAGATAAAAATAACAAATCATGGAATTGGACATTACATTATTAACAATCAAATTTTAAAACATTAACATAGTATTAATTATTCAGGATGCACAATACTTATGTGATGCTACTGTCCATGGTCAATGACTCGAGATATCGTCTCGCGAAAACCGTAAAATGGGCTTCCGAGCATGCAAAGAGGTCCAAAGAGGAGTCAAAGATAAGCATTCGATTGAAGTACTTAAGTATGAAGACTTATTGTATTTTTGTCTATAGTTGTATATCAATAATTTCGGAACTTCGGAGGCATGCGTATGTCAAAAGTTAAATTAATGGTATAAGGGTAAATTGGTATGATCATAGTAAATACACAAATTAATTATTGTTTTGAGTGAAGGTAATTTATAGTTTTACATTTTATATTACAGAAGGAGAAAAACCTGAGACGAAACAGAAGCGTTTGGAGGCAAAGTATTCAGCGCTGCAGATTGTGCAGAATGTCGACAAATATGGCGATGGTCAGGTACAATTATAGTATAACAAAGATACGTAATAATAATATATTAATGGGTCAGACAAACTCACCAATGGTCACCTGCTCCATTAGCTACGTAAATACGTTTCTTCAATGTTTTGTATAGATAAGATAAGATACATTTATTTGAATATTACTTAATCTAATATACAAGTAAATCATATCTAATCATTTTAATATTAGAACCTAATGTCTAATTGCGATGCCTAAACTAAGTAAATATCATCGAGTATATAACCAGAAATAGAGACGAAATAAGGGCTATACATTCCTGATAACTCATCAGCGATACACCACTTATAAATATCAACTCTCGTTTGCTTTTAAATAAAGACAGTCCAACAACTGATCTGTGTGTACGTCTCCGTATATTCCAAAAAATATTCTGTATTTATTGTAATAAAGATAATATCTCTAACAATGCCGTGCTGTTATATTCGGTGGTGTGGGAAAAACAGCAAAACATCTAATTACAAAACAAACGGAATCAAATTTCATCGGTTATTAAATATGTAATTTTGCAATTTTCGTCCATTATAGCAAAGCTCAAGTTAACTGGTCGATTTGAAGTGAAACAATTGACGACACCCGTCAATTAAAGTTAAAACGTTAAAGTATTTAGTGCGATAGCAATTTGGAACGTTTTAGTTTTGTTTTTAACCGACTTCAAAAAAGGAGGTTCTCAATTTGACAGTATTTTGTATGTAGGTATGTTGCGCGATAACTTTGTGAACGGATTATGATGGTTCTTATTTTTGTTGGAAAGAGGATGGTGGTACCATTTGAATTTGAAGAAAATATTTCACCTCTAAGGAGGGCAAAATTGTTAAACTAACCGTTTTCTTCTAGATCGATCTACTTGTTTTTTTTTGTATTTTACCCAATAATCTTGTTTGTATTATTTAAAACCTTGCCTCCTTTTTATATTTGTAATTTTTACTCAAATAAATTAATTGATTTGGCCGGACGCTGATTTCCAAGAAACAGGTCTGTTCAACCATTGACTTACAAATAAATGGACGACGGGTCTAATACCAAAACCACGAAAAAAATGTCCCAAGTCAACCTATTTAAACATAGTGACATGTAAAGGAATATGAAAAAGCTAAAACGTTGAATTTAAATTGTAATGTCATCGCAGTACTGTCTAATTTTGCTTGCTTCGCTGTCAGTCGAACAAACGAAGACTAAAGCGTGAATGACGCTTTGTATACGATTTTAACGCCGTATAAGTTCGGACACTTTTTAGCGCGGACCCGACGTCCATATAATTGTAAGTCAATGTCAACAATCAATTTGTATTACTATAAAAAAAAAAACAAAAATATTTCTATCAAACTGAAATAGATGTATGTATTTCCACGAACTTTGAGGTGGTTACCTATCTGTAGTCCGAAATGACATTGTCCAGAAATAACGTTACGCCGGAATTTTCATAAGCTCGAAAGTAATTTTGAGATGAAAATGTTTTTTTCTTTTAAACCTAATTTAACCTAACCTGATCGTGTCTTTGCGATAAACATCCAACATATCCTGAAAGAACAACGGTTTCGTTATATATCGAGTTCTTAGGTTTTCGCGATTGTTACACATAGGAAATGAAACTATTTTTCCGGATTTAATTCGCGTATATTTGTTTTTCAAACAAACCGACGTTTCGGGCCCTTTACAGGTCCCATGGTCACGGTTGACTGAGGTGGTACAGTCTTCGACCAGTTTTTTTAAATACCTTATTTTTAATTTTACAAAGAAAACATTCCAATTTACGCTACATTAAGTTTT